TTATTCTGACTATTTTATTGCTCTTATTTGGCTTTTGAAAGATTAGCTTTTTATAGGCCTTAAGACTTATACCCCAGAGAGAAATTTTTAGTATGTCTTTAAAAGAAAGAGAATAGCTATATTTTATATGGGAAGGCGTCACATCTCTTTTAATATATTGTTAGCATGTGATTGAGAAGGAAGAACTAAGACTTCACCTACAAGCTTCCAAAGATGCCCAACGACAACTGACAATGGAGGTAATGAAATCTTTCCTTTGTCTAGTGTAATTGAGGGGGAGGGGAAGTAATGAGTAATTTCTTTCATCTTTGTAAATAGGAATTACTAAAGGGACATTACCAGATTTAAAAAGCAACAAAAGAGTAAGAAGAAATTCTGAGATCTGAGAAGTAAAGCATTTTAAAATCCTGTCTCTAAAACTAATAGCATGGCAGCATCCTTCTTGATTAATAGGGAAAACCTCAACTTACGTAGGATTCTTTAGGAGTATGTGACTCTTTTACCAGTTAACCTTAGCTAGCCCAACAATTTTTAAAATAAGATAATTTCTAATAGTAAGTGTTTTTGCAGGCATGTCAGGAACAATGGCAAAAATCTCTTACTTTCTATCTACATAAAATTTTATATATTAAATATAACTTAGTGGTTCTTTAGCATGCGTAAGAATCAACTGGGAGAGCAGGTTTTAAATGGAGATGCCCAAGCACTATCCCAAGAGTTTCTACGTCAGATGGTTTAGAGTGAGGACCTGGAATCTGCATTTTTACTAAGAATCTTCTGCCCTGGTGGTTCTGATAAGCTGGTGCACATAATACACTTGAAGAAATGTTGCCATTAAAATATACTCTGAAATTTATGTACTCTTTTGCCAGCATGTATCTATCTGTAAAGAAGGTTCTAAAACAAGAGGAAAAAAACTTCTTGTTTAGGATGACTTTGTAGATTCTTGATCTTGTCACTTACAGACTTCAGACCTATGCTTGTTTTTAAATGATTAGCATTATGCTAAACCTAACTTTACCATAACTATGATACTTCCTCTATGAGTTTTTTAGGATATGAAGCATAAAATGTTGAATTGATAGTTCTGGTAGTCTCAGCTATATTTCAGATTTTCAGGAAGTCACATTTGTATAATTTTGGCCAAGACACCCCTAATTCTGGCAGCTTGAAATACATATACTCTCCTTGTTTAGTTTGTTTCAGAGTCTTTGTATGGAAACGATATTTATAAAGTTAGCTAACCCCGTGGATAAAATTAATACTTATCCAAGGGGTTTGGGGGTTTTTTCCAATGTTGTTTTAAGAAAATGTAAAAAGTACACTACTATCCTTCCTTTCAGCTACATGAGTTACAAGACAGGAATATGGAGTGCCTGGGAATGTTACATGAATCCCAAGAAGAAATAAAGGAACTTCGTAGTAAATCTGGCCCTGCTGCTCATCTCTACTTATCCCAGTCATATGGAGCTTTTACTGGAGTAAGGAACTGAGAAAGATGCTATGTATTTAAAGAAACTTTTTAAAATCAGATTGTCCTAAAAGTGATAAGGTTTATGATGGTATAAAGCACCCTGAGAACAGATAACATAGTTTTTCCTTATTTCTGGAATCTAATTATTGATTTGGGCCTTAATTTATATATGTACGTCTTCCTTAATACTCTTACTTATTCTAACAGAGATGACCTTCCAGACCGATAGTAGTATGTGAGATGGACTCTAAGGAAATTAGCTTTAGGACCATGTGCCATAGAACTACTTAAACTTGGGTCATCCTACCTTAAGCACACCATTTGTCACTTACTAAATGGTGCTTTGATTTTCTAAGACTTCTTTCAATAACTCTTGAGTTTCTTGGTATGTTTAACTCCAGTTAGGATGTAAGCCCCATGAAAACAGGAATCATGTTTGTTTAATTCATTAATAAACAGTATTTGGGGTATTAAAGAAATTAATAAAAACTTCTGAATTTATGCCAGAATTTGTCATGTTGGTTCAAAGACTTATTTTAGCAATCTGATTCTTAAAACACTTATGTGCAATCCTGTGAAATTTTTTAAAA